CACTGGGTCGGTTTCCAGTGGTTCACAATTTCCAACTTCTATCAATTCACGACGTAGCGCGATTATCACCGAAGGTCTTCAGCGTACTGCTGAGGAGTCCCATACTAGGATGAAACAGCTGTCCAGTGCTCCCACTTCTTCAATGGTTCCCCAACTCATATCAGTCCATAATGAATACTACCTCTACATTAAAAATCCTCATTCATCTCTAAAGGTATGTTATTCACAAAGATATGAAGTGTTTTCAAACATTATAAGGTAAAATCGATACTTAAACTCAGCATTAATGACCAGTTTAACTTTTGACAGAGAATATTTATTATACATATTATATTCTATGTATGCTTTTATTAGAATATTCTTCATATAGTGATGTTATTACACATAGATTAATTAGACATACAAAATAATCCTTTTTTGTGAATTGTAAACATCAATTTTATCACGGTATTAAAAGTGAATTGTATATTTGCTTAGACTAGTGTAAACAATGTATATTTTATTAGAGATAGTACATTATGTGTGTGTATGTTTATGTAGATGGTGTATATACTTGCTATACGTGATAAACATTTTATTCAATTATCTTATAAAACGTTAACAAAAGGATTAGAAAATCAAATATTCAGAGAAAATGATGACATTAATTTGTTTTTATCGACTGCCAAGCTGCTTTTTTTTACATTTTACATAAACTGTGATCAAGATTTGATCGTATAGTATGGCAAATAATGAGCGCTGAGTAAAAGGTTAACATTAGATACAGACTGAATTTGTGTAGGTCAAAGCAGGTTTGAAATGAAATAATTCCAACGTTGTTTCGCACAGAAGTCTGGTTAAAGCTTCTTCAAGGAAATAATCAAAACTAAAATATCAAGAGTATATAAATGAATTCAAGAAACGTGTATTTAATCTTCTTGCCGAATCCTCTTCGTATAGTCATTTTCTTTCTAAATTATGATAACTAATCATTCAGTGTGAAATTGTTTGGCGATTGTTGTACGGCATATGTATGTATGTACTCCAATTCATGTTCATCTTAAATGTAAATGTTAGACAAAAACGTCACGGGTGATATATTAGTCACTCGGTAATTTTATAAGTACAGATTAAAAAGGATGAGGTGGCTGTGTATACAGATACAATTGGAATAAAGTGGTGAATAGTGTTACAGAATTTTTCCCCCCATTGATTTAGATGAATCGAGTGGAAATGAGTTGTAGTAATCATGATGACGATGATGATGATGATGATAATGACGATGGTGATGATGACGACGACGATGCGATGATGATGATGATGATAATGATAATGATGATAGTAATAATGAATCAAATCAGTTCAGGTTGTGTTGTTATTGATGAAGAAATAATGGATTTGAGACTAGTTTTGTCGGTAAATATTTTGAGTCACTCTTTCTGCTTACTAATTAGTAATTGCCAAGAGGCAGATAACTGTATTGCATCTCATTTGTTCAAACTGTCTGGATTCGCCCACATATATATGGCTTCGGTTGTCAATCTTTCTTGGTATGACTCAAAACCTTTTTGTAGAACCTTAGTTCCATCAAAGTCAATTTTTTAACCCATTTCTATGGAGTGTAACGCGATCACGGATTTGTTTTCTAGTTTCTTAACTTTGCTTTTTGGCAATTACTAATTAGTAAGGAGAAAGTGTCTCAAAACATTTACCGTCAACACTAGTCTCAATTCCATTATTTCTGCATCAACTACAACATAACTTGCATTGATTTGATTCATTATTACTATCATAATCATTATCATCATCACCATCATTACTAACATTCATTTCCACTCTATTCCGGTTAATCATTGCGTAAAAAAATCCTCTAACACTATTCATTACTTTATTCCAACTGAAACTGTATACACATCCACCTCATCCTTTTCAATTTATACAAATAGGACGAAACGCGCATCCTGGATTCTTCTGCTAGTCACAACCAACCAAATTATCATAATTAATATTCAGGCAATATCGAGGCATAAGCATAGGAGCCCACATGCCAATAGAGGTTGAACAATTCCATCAAACAAAACAACGGATAATAACAAGTATGTCAATAAATAGTGATAACTACTACGCGTTGTACAAGAAGTGGCTATCGTTCCTCCGTGGCATAGTGGATAACGCCTTGGTGTTTGAAGCGAGGGTACAAAGTCCAAGTTTAGTGGAAACAACATCCCTGGGGTACGGGTACATGCAGCTGACGAGTCCCGAATAGGACGAAACGCGCGTCCAGAATTCTTCTGTTAGCCACAACCAACCAAATTATCATAATTGACACTTATATATCCTTGATATTTTAATTTTGACTATTTCCCTGAAGAAGTTCGGACCAGACTTCTGTGTGAAACAACTTTGGAATTATTTGATTTCAAACCCGCTTTGACTTACACAAATACAATCTATATTTGATGCTTTTTGCACCTTGTGAATTTTCAATGGATCACTGCTAGAATGAATACTTCTTAAAGTACGTCTACATGACCTTATAACTGACGGCACCTTGACTCATGGGAAATCAAATAAACTTTTACAGATTGTACGGTACATAATTACAAAAGGTATTATTGCTTTCTTTCTACAATGAAAATGATTACTGTGACTGAAAAATGTTCACCCTTTATAGCAAATGATATACATTTTTCACATAAACCTCAGTGCCAAAATATCCATTGACTTTGATAACTTTGACAATTCAATGTTCATTTAAAATAAGCAAAAACGAAGAAAGATTTAGCGAAAAAATCACTCTTCTCAGCAGTGTTATTCAAAAGTTGTACAAGGACAAATAAATATTGCATTCCAGATTGGTATCATGAAGTTCTAATAAGAAGGCGTAACCTGTGGGGTTAACCAATCAGAAGGGAAGTGGATGCCAACTGAAGACCTTGAATGATAGTGAATTGACAGAATTTGGAAACTTTCAACCAATGAGCTGCAACCCAGTGGCTGAATGGTGAACATGTTGGCCGTGAAACTTGATGGTCCTGATTTTGATCCTTAGACGGGTACTGGGGCGTGTTGCTAAGGTGTCTCATATTAAGACGAAACGGCTATCCAGTATTTCTTGGCTTTCGAGGGATCTCTAATCGATGTCAGTCCATGATGAATACTGCCCCAAAGTATTTCATTTACTTGGTAACAAAAAGAATATTTCTTAAAATAATTTCTATAAGATTCTATCCTGATTAAAGATCTGGCGGTTATTACAAAGAATTATTTAATGTAGCAGATAGTTATCAGAAGAAGATATACCAAGACCAGAATATTTAATTGTCGACTTAGATGATGTAATATTTAAAAAAAAAACACTTACAAATGTGATGTGAAATCAGGATTTTGAGACCATTGAAATGTGAGATGTTATGTGTTAGTAATGAGGTGGAACTAAAGATTTTCTAGGTAGATTTTAGTCACACAACAAGTCCATTACTCAAACAGAGTTTAAGTAAAGAAATCAGACGTCAAAAGATAAGTTACCATCGTTTCCACAGTTTTAAGAAGTTTTGGCTAAACACATTTTAAAACTCGTTAGATGGAATTTAAGTTACATTCTGCATTCGCTAGGCGATTTAAATTAACTAGACGTTTTATGGTCAACCTGCCAGGTGCTATACGTTCTCCTTTTCGAAACCAAGCTGGTATATACTTGAAGATATGTTTTGCAAAAGGAAGGCTAAGTAAGATAAACATGCCTCATTTTTCAAAAAAGGGTGAACAGATAAACATACATAGAGGTGGCCAAGTGTGGTAGCTTGTCCTTCATGTATAACCGAAGCAGTAAATGACTGGAGAAAACCAGTATTTGTTTGGCAGTTGAGAAGGTTTTTCTTGATGAGTGTGAGAGATTGTTTCTGTTAGAGGACGCTTCCAAATCCTCCACAAGATTCTACCAAACCACTGAAAGTTGATGAGATAAAGGCATTTGGGCATAGCTGAAGCACCAGCCATCCAGAGATTTAAACTAGCCCTATGTGTCAAAATATGCAAGCCTAACCTTTGTCTTTGCTACGGCCATCATAAAGCTCTACCTTTCCTAGACGAAATCCCGTATTACATGACTATATTTACCTTTTCTTAACCCCCTGTTTATTTCTGTCTTTGAAACACCCATTTGTAGTGTATAACTTCCTTTCGTTGCTCATTCAATACACAAATGTAGATCCTTTTCAATTGCTCTAAACAAGTACTTTATAATTCAGGAGTTCTGTATGTTTAAATTACTTAGAGAAAGTATAGAACTCCGCAACATACTAGTGTTACTTCTTCTAACTTTCAGTGCCATCGGTGTTCATAAAAATCCATTTCTGTTCATAATCTCATAGAAATCAGGTCACCTAAACTCTAATATAGACTAACCTAAAACAGAATCTCTGTGACACGTTTTGTTCATGAATTGTCAATTAATAACAATCAATGACGGTAATCGATGTGCTTCCGTGAGATCACTGAAATGAAATCTAATAGTGATCAAATTAGTAAAGTTCATCAGCATTTGGAATAAGACCGTTGTTATCTAGTCCCATTAACAGTCTCACTTCTCCAGTTTCGGCCTTAACGATTAAACATATAACAGCTTTTCTTCTGTGTGATAAGTCACCTATGAGTAATTTGAAACGCAAATCACTGTCACTATCTTAAAACTGGTATTTTCAAAAGGTGATAGGATGTAACTGGATCAGAGAAATGGTGGGATTTATAATTTTTTAACTTTTACTTTCTTTTTGTTTACGCTCACCAACAGATTAACTATTACACCACCAATAAAGTTCCAATACTACTTCTGTCTTTTAAACATTTAATGGCAGTTAATCATCCCATATTTTTATGAAAAAGTGTTATGACACGCGTAGCATGTTTTCAATTTTGTGTTCTACTATGACACGTGTCCGTCACTCCTATTGGTTGAAAAATACCTATTTGACCTTGAGAATTAAGCACCAATCCTATACAAGTGGTAAAAATATTCACAGATAATATAACACAATCTAATACACGTCTTCGGCAGTAAGTGAAGTTCAGCTTGGGAATTCACAAACATGCATTTTTACCTAATTTTGTGCTTCGCTATAGCTGCATACTCCGTTAATTGTTTCCAACAGAAGAAGAGTCAGATGAATCCATGAAAGATATAGTAAGTTGGGTTAGCTAATCAACTGACTGTCGACATTTTTGCATCTTAGGGTAAAGCACTTGTCAACATTGGCTTAGATTACATTATTCGGTTAGATGAATGGCTTGATAAAAATATTGGCAAACAGGAACTTAAAGCAATGAAAGAACATGTAATTAAATTCAGCCAACTTGCAATAAACTTTATTGATACAAGTAAATAGTTAATATTTACTATAAATTACTATTCATTTTGTAGCGTTTGAAAGTATTTTGTCAGAGAATGGTACTAAGAAAGAAAAACAACAGACAAAACATTCTGAATTGTAAAACTTTTGTTTTTCCAATGCGTATAATGTACATACAATGTCTATCTTGGTAAAAGGGATTTCAATTTTTGAATAAACAAAATAAACTATTTATACAAGGAAATATGCTTTTTATATGTTGCTTGAGATATAATCGATCAGTAAATGCTAAGATTTATGCCTACTAGAGCTGCATTTCAGGAAACTACTTAGCAGACTGTCCATTTCGAAGGTATATACTGATAGATAGCTTTATCTATTTCCTCAACTATGAAGGTTCTCTATAATTAGTGGCATGCTTCACACTGACTACTCGCTTCAACAATAAACTCATATCAGATAATTAAGTAACTACTTTTCTTTCTGTATTGATATCCGGCGTCATTGTGATTAGAATAACTTCCTGCCAATTGTTCTTATCAGACTCAGAAAACTACAAAATGTGAATTCATCATCTATTAGTTGTACAAATAACAAAGTTCATCATTGATTATTATTATTTGTCCTTTGGATTACTAGTGGAACATAGGGCTTCATTTGCACGTCGCCATTTCACTCTCTTCTCTACAGTTTTTTTCAACCTGACTCCAAGACTGCCCACAAGCTTTCATTTCTTCCTCACATGATCTCCTCCATATCACCCTCAGACGCCCAACTCGTCGTTTCCCATTTGAATTCCACTTGACGGCTTGGCCTGGCCTGACACGTGATGTCTACAAGACGGTCTTCTCACTGTATGCTAATCCATCTCCATTCTCTTACGTATATTTTAGAAAAGAAGTCTTTAAAATAAGACCAATCCTTAAGCTGAAGTAACCAAAATGATCTATAAGGTTTCGCTAATTATAGAGTCCTTGTAATTCGTAATTTTTCATAAAAGTTGATTTTATTGTCTATAACACTCTAATTCAAGATTACTTTCAACCGTTTTACCCAAGTATCTCCTAGTAAGTAATTTTTTATGGCCTTTAAGTTCATGAACAAAGAGCATAGTTCACTAAAGTACCAAGAATGGTACTTTGAAATACCATCTAAAAACGTAACATTGGAAAAGCGCTAGGAAATACTAGTAGAAATCGCTCGTTCATATTGAGATTCAGTTTTCGTACTAATCTCATATCTGATCTATTACGAAAAGTTTCAGAGATTTTAAAGCTAATCCTATCTAGCACACTGGTAATTTCAAAAGATGTTCCGTCATTATTTGCATCCGAAATGCAAACTTTTCGCTATTAAACCTATCCTTATGGTTGAAAAAGACTTTTAACCAAGTAACCTTTACACATTGGCCTACAATAATGTCTAATTCTGTTATCCATCATACCTTAACTCTGCTTAACTCCTATCGCGCGATTCTTTGTGACTGTCAACCTTTTCGTATCTTATTACGCTACTTATTATTAGTAAGTAGCATGAGTATTTTCTCATCATTTCGTTCATTTTACAAACTGCAAACCGAGTACGCGAATACTGTTAGATATCACGTTTCAATCCATTGGTTTCTATTCCTTTTAAATAACTCATCCTCACTTTTATCAGAGCCTTATTTAATGGAAATATCAGGTAACCTTTCAGGAGGTGAAAATCTGATCAGTGCACCCTCGTACACATCTAAAACCTGCCTAGTTTTCTCGATTGTGCTATTCTTGACATTCAAGGAGGCGTCAGATAACTATGGAACCTAGGATTTAGAAAACAGTATCATTCAGACTTATTCCCGTACGCTTGTCACAGTAAGACGCTTATCCCTTCTTGTAGACTGAGGTGATCACAGAAGTAGACTAGTCCTATGGAACTACCTCTGATTCCTTTACACTACCCAGAAATCCCGTCACTTTATTTAGCAATTTCCTACAACAGTCCCTGAAAATGTCAAGTAGTAAACCCTCAGATCCTGTTACTTTGGATCGTTTTAGGTTCAGTGCGCCCTTCTTAGTTTCAAAAAGAGTTTCTGGACCAACATCTACTTCCCATTCGGATTCAAACTGGATGTTTGGTAATTGAAGACTTGATGTAGGTCAGCTGAACTTTGCTTCAAAGTGTTCTGCCTAACATTCTACCCACCTGTCCTTGAAAGTATTTGCGTCCCATTCTTTTTAATGATGGTTTCCCAAATCGCCGTTTTCTTTTTGTTATTTCGCTAATAACCTTAAATAGCTGCTGAGTGTAAACCAAAACTGATGCCTTCACCATATCTCTGGCTTTCGCTACCCACTACTGCACGCGATCATTGTGAAGACTTGAACAATTTGCCTTTAAGTTGCTTTCGCTCTTCAAAGTGGTCACAGCCAGATGGAATCAGTTTTCTTACACCAACCAGTTCAGATAGTATTGTGGGAATTCAGTGACGTTTGCTAACCTTAGGATAAAGGTTATCAACGTTTTTTACCGCTGTTGCTACAGAGGAGTGAATATCATGCCAGGTTTCCTCAGGATGAGCACTGCTGTCACGTCTGGATAAATGTTTCTAAATCTCCTCCCTAAATACGTACTTCAAGTTCTCATCTTCCAGTCAAGGATCAACAAGCTTTCCCATCTCCTGTTTCCTGCGATCAGTATGGCGCATACATACACGTGTCCACAATAACGCGTGACCAGAGTCTAAGGAGGTACCCCAGAAACAGCGGAAGTCCTCCACCGATCCTCTCCAACCATCATTTATAATAATTAGATCTATCTTTGTCCGTTACTGGTTTAAAGTTAGCGGACGCCGTATGAGACAGTGTCTCTCCTTATGCTAGTCAGAAACAAGTGATTGTCAGAAAAAAATCGTAACAGAGGATCACCGTTGTTGGTCCATTGGCATGAGATTCCGTAGATGTCCCGAAAATGCCTTCCTGAGTGACTCAGCTCTCCTACCTGAGCTTTAAAGTCACATGTCTAAACGTTTTGCTTTCTGCAACAAAGCTGACAACTTTTCATAGAATTCATCCTTTACATCATTCGAACTGCAGCCGGTGGATGTGTGGCTGAGATTACGGATAAGTATCGGTCGGTCTAACCTCGCCTGGTTAACTAGTTCACTAGTTACTAACCGGTCCTAAGCACGGGTAAACAGGAAAGGTTGGGCATACGGCTACCAACCCCACACCGTAAAACAAATCCAACCGCTAAACAAACTTCAAAGCAGAAAAGAAATATAGAAAATTAAAAAAAATTATTCCTCGCTGGAATCGGAGAGGCGAAATGACGCCAGTTGGTGAAAGCCTTCAGGAAGCCAATTAGTCGATGTGTCTTCTCTCGATGGAAGCGAAAGTAATGATGGAGACATGGAATATCCACACCATGTTTGAACCCAGCAAGGCAGCCCAGATTGCAAACGATATGAGAAGGTATCACATTGAAGTGCTAGGAATTTGCGAAAGCAGATGAAATGGAAGTGGACTCTCCAAACTGCCAACTAGACAGTCATTAATTTACTTCGATATTGTCACCCAGACGACAACCACGAGCACACTGAGTTTCCGAATGACTATCATGATATCCCCTTGAAGAGCATCGAAGGCTCTCTCTCATGCAATGGGAACCAATCTACTCCTGCAGGTTCATAACAGTAAGGTGGTTCTACTCAAAAGGACGGAAAGTCACAATCGTTCAATGCTACGATCCTACAGATAAACAGAAAAGGAGGAATTCTACAGACAACTCCAATCAGCACTGGACAAGCCCCATCCCAGTTGGTGACATCAAAATTCTAATGGGCGACATGAATGCGAAACTGGGAGCGGACAACACAGGAAGAGAACTAACTTTGGGTCGAGAAGCGATCGGTGAGGTGATGAACGAGAATGGAGAATTGTTTGCAGAATTCTGTGCATTCAACTATTCGATGATTGGAGGCAGTGTGTCCAAGCACAAGAATATCCGCAAAGCGACAGATGGACACACTAAAAATCAGATCGACTTTATCTCAGTGTGAAGGAACTGGAGACGCAGCTTACTTGACACAAGGTCAAGAAGAGGAGTAGAATGTAGTTTAAGACCACTCACCATCCAGTGCAAAAAAACCTTCCAAATCAAGTTGAAAGCCTTCTAGGAAGCTGGTTATAGACCGCAGTTCAAGTACAACACTCGGAAACTAAAGGACTAAACTACAAAGGAAATCTTCATGTCAGCCATCAAGACAAAATGGGAGATATCGAGCAACATGCCTGAAGAAACCTGTGTGGATGAGCACTTAAACTCTTTGAAAGCGACGTCGGAAGAAACCTGCATAACCGTGTTACTAAGGAAGAAGAAAGAAGATGAAGTATGGATCTCAACGCACACATGGAAGCTGGTAGAGGAGAGGAAGATGGTGAATCAGAAGATGAACCAGTGCAGTGCAGTGCAGTGATAAACAACGAGAAGAGGAACTGAACACAACCTATAAAACACTACACTGGACAAAGAAGTGAAGAAGAGTGCACGCAAACACAAGAGACACTTCTACGACACACTGGCAAGTGAAGCAGAACTGGTTGCAGGAAGGAGAGACCTGACAGCATTGCATCAAATAACCAGGTTACTATCTGGCAGGGAAGAGATCAACTCACATGAAACCAAATAAAAGATGATGAGGGAAATCTAGTTATTAAAGAAGAAAAACAAACGAAACGATGGACTGACCACTTCAAACTACTCTTGAATCGACCACCACCAGCACGTGCAACTTGTCCAGAAATACCACCTGCAGCCCAGTCACAGAACTACAAGTGAACACAAATCCCCCAACAAAAGTCAAAGTCTCGAGCACCAAAAAGCTACTGAAATGCGGGAAAGCAGCAGGACTAGATGGAATCTCGCCAGAAGCACTGAGAGCAGACTCAGAGATAACAGCGGACATACTCACACCACTACCGCATAAGGTCTGGAAGGAAAGGAAGGTACCTGCAGATTGGAAGAAGGGTTACCTTGTCAAACTCCAGAAGAAGGGCGACCCAAGTCTTTGCAAGAACTGGAGTGGAATCACGCTCTTGTCCACTCCAAGCAAAATATTAAGCCACATCATCCTGGAAAGACTAAATGATGCGCTGGATCCAAAACTTCGACCCGAACAGTCCGGCTTCAGGAGGTACAAATCATGTGCAAACCAAATTGCAACGCTACGCTAAGCATCATCATAGAACAGAGTATAAAATGGT